CCCCCGGCCTCTTCACACCCCTCTCCCCCTTCGCTAGCCGGGTCTGGCCACCACAGCCCACCGCGTCCCCAGTCCCCTGCTGCCTGCCAGCCGGGGATGGGTCTGGGACCCGCGTCTCTAGGGAACCACGGTCTCTCCCCCGTGTGCGGACTGGGGTCCCCACCGGGAACCAGCTCTGCCGTAGGGCACAGCGAGCAGGAGTGTATTTTTTTTTTGAGTGATACGAGACAGTGCTGATATTTCAAACCTCTCCCCACAAATCCCATTTTAATACAAAAATTTGTTCTTAAAGAAATAAAATAAAATCAAATCAGGATTCCAGCTATTCCAGAAATGTTTCTGGACGAAACAGCTGCGCATCGGCATCTCGCTACCCAGTTTCTCAAATATGTTTGGAGAGAGGTGCCGTAGGTGGGAAGCTGTCTCTGAGCTGTTCCTTTTCAGACAGAGCAGAAAACGAAACCCAACACCAAAGTTATCCCTCTTTGCAGAGCAATATTGTCCCCATGGGGACTGGCTGGTGAACAGCAATATCAGCCCTGCAAACACAACCCAAAATCACCGAATGTGCATTTTTTTCCCCAGGAGATGCTTCAGAGCAATTTGCTTTTCCTCCAGAAAGAGAAGGAGGATTTTAACCCAGAAGGAGAAAAGAAAAGCGATGAGCTGATGGTATGTTCCTCTCTCTCCATGGGCATGCTCTTCCTGCCTGTATATCCGTATATCCACACATCCTGCCTTTCCCTTTCAGTGGATATATTTATCTTTCTCTGCAAGAGCACTCCTGTTTTCTCTCTCCCAGTGCATCTGTCAATCCCATACATCCTCCGTCCACCCTCCCGTCGTCCTTGTCTCGTTAAGCCTTAGCTGTCATCCTGGGCCCATCAGTGTCCAAACTCGTCTCCACGCTGCCCTCTCCCTCACTTCCCTCTGGCTCAGTATGCCTCTGCTCTTCCAGCTTTTCCACCCCAATAGCTCTTCTCCTTTCTCCCATGATTATTTGGCCTGCTCTCGTTAGCGCTGCTTCCCCAGGCAGCGTCCCCGTGCCCACCTGGAGGTAGAGGGAGGCTGACATGGCTCTTTTCCGCTGCCTTGCAGGGGATGGTGGCATCGGAGAGGGAGAAGCTGCAGGCTGGATTCCAGGAGCTGCAGCAGTTCCTGCAGGAGCAGGAGGGTGTCCTGCTGGCCCAGCTCGACGAGGTGCACAGCAGGCTCGCAGAGGGGCGCAGCGAATACCTCAGCAGTGTTTCTGCGAGGAGGTCGCTGCTGGACACGCTGGTTGCCAAGATAGAGAAGAAACTTGGCCAGACGGATATCGAATTCCTTATGGTGAGTCCACGTCGCCCTCGCCAGTCTGGCAAGTCCTGCAGCGCCCGGCGGGGCTGCGCAGCCTGGCAGGCCTGGGAGCGCGGGGCGGCCAGCCGTGCAGCACCCCTG